GAGTTTAAGGTTGCTGTGAGCTATGATGTCAGGCACTCTACCAGACCCAAGAAAATGATGCTCTGTCTCAAACGAAAAAAGGAAGAAAGAATGAAATGGACTTGCAAAGTTTGTAAGGAAAAGAAAACACTGGTATACTGCTCATAGAAATGTAAATTATGGCAACCACTATGAAAATCAGTATGGCAGCCAGGCAGGGCAGCTCACACCTGTAATTCCAGCACTTTGGAAGGCCAAGTTGAGTGGACTGCTTGAGTGGTCTCCACTAAAAATAAAACTGGGCATTGTGGCAGGCACTTGTAGTCCTAGCAACTCAGGAAGCTGAGGCAAAAAAAAAATCACTTGAGTCCAAGAATTTGAGGTTGTTGTGAGCTATGACACACTATAGCACTCTACCCAGGGCAAAAGAGTGAGACACTGTCAAAAAATAATAATAAAATAAAATAAAAGAAGAAAAGAAAAATAGTATGGTGGTTCCTAAAAATACTAAATCTAACATATGATCCATAACTCCCACTGATGGGATATTTAGGCAAAAGAAAGGAAATCATTATATCAAAGAATAAGAGATAGTTGCATGCCCATGTTTACTGCAGCACTATTCAAATAGCCAAGATAGGAAAGAAGTTAAGTGTCCATAACCAATGAATAGATAATGAAAATGTGGTAACTAAACACAATGAAATACTATTCAACAGTAAAAAGAATGAAGCACTGTCTTTTACAATAACAGAGATCCAACTGGAAGTCATTGTGTTAAGTGAATTAAACTAGGGTAGGCATAGAAAGTTAAATGTTTCTATTCTCATTCATATGTGGGAGTTAAAAAAAAGTAGATTGTATAGTAGAATAATAGTCACCAGAGGCTGGGAACCAAGAATAGAGAGGGGCAGAGATAGGAAGAGAGGCCAGCTACTAGGTACACAAATACAGTTAGAAGGAATAAATTCTAAGTGTTCAACAGCAAAGCAGGGTGACTATAACTAACAATAATTTACTGCATCTTTCACAACAGCTAGAAAATCTGAAATGTTCCCAACACAAAGAAATGATAAATGTTTGAGGTGATTAGATGATCCTAATTACCTTAATTTGATCATCACACATTGAATGCATGTATCAAAAGAAAAACTGAGAAATAAAAATAAGTAAAATGGTCCTAAAAAAAGTATAGGTCAAAAACTTAGTTCAACTAGCTCAGCGCCCATAGCACAATGGTTAGGGCTCTGGCCACATACACAGAGGCTGGTGGGTTCAAACCTAGCCCAGGCCTGCTAACAACAACCAAAAAAAGAACAACAAAAAACAGTTGGGCATTGTGTCAGGCGCCTCTAGTCCCAACTACTTGAAAGGAGAGGCAAGAGAATTGCTTAAGCCCAAGAGTTTGAGGTTGCTGTGAGCTGTGATACCTGAGCATGTGGTGCCTGAGCACACTACAGAGGGCTACACAGTGAGACTCTTATCTCAAAAAAAAAAAAAAAATTAGTTCAACTGATTTACTACTGTAAACAAACAGCGGGTCTGGCACAGTCACTCACACCTGTAATCCTAGCACTCTGGGAGTCTAAAGTGGGTGGATCACTTGCGCTCAGGAGTTAGAGACCTGCCTGAGGAAGAGCAAGAGCCCGTGTCTAAAAACAGCTGGATGTTGTGGCAAGCTCCGGCAGTCCCAGCTACTCAGGAGGCTGAGGCAAGAGAATCACTTGAGCTCAAGAGCTTGAGATTGCTGTGAGCTATGATGACGTAGCATTCAATCAGTAAACAGAGCGAGACTATCTCAAAAAGAAAACAAACAGGGTGGCACCTGTGGCTCAAAGGAGTAGGGTGCTGGCCCCATATGCCAGTGGTGGCAGGTTCAAAGCCAGCCCCAGCAAAAAAAAAAAAATGGCAGAATGTTATTCAGTGCTAGATGATAGGATAATTAAGTGGATTTATATCTGGCTAGACACTACTGCCTGAGGAATATTAATCAACTTTGGATAAATTTATCTCTGGAGAGGTGTCTCCACTGATATCTTGGCCTAAACAATACTTAACAGTGACTTGGATAAAGACCTGAAAGTATAATTTTCTTATTATATAAAGATATAGAGTAACAGAATCAAGTAAGACTTTATTTATAAAGTGTAAACTGACTAAAAATGATCATGACACTTAACAGTATTAAAGAGCAATTTATATATTAGGAAGTAATTAAAAGTATTAATTGAAATTTTTCATAAGAAATTGGAATGTTTTCCAATCTCCTAGAATATGGACTCCTGCTTCTTGTAGCAATGTTATCATCCCATTAAGTTTATTTCTACAAATATACTAAAAACACATTAACAGTTATATCTGATTTCTCTTTAAAAAGGTATACAAGACAGTAAAATTTCACAGTATCTATGTTTTACAGAAGCATGCCAATCTAGGAAAGTTATCAATTAATATGTTTCAAATTAACTTATGCCTCTTTAATTGTGCCATTTCCCCTCTACCATGTGCCATATATATGCAGCTCTAAGTAGAGTTTAAAAAATATTTCCTTAGTTTTTTTTGTTCATATGATCAATCACTCACGGATAATGAAGAATATGACATAAGCTCCTTTTCTCATCCCTAAAAATGTTTTAAGGACAAACTTCTATAAACTAGGTTAATACAAATGTTATTAATACAACATAACCAGCCTAAAACATATACCATGAGTGTATTCCAAAAGTGGAGTTGATCTATTGATGCTTCTTTAATAATCAGAAAGCAGAAAACCTATCTAAAAGGGCTGACCACAGGGCATAAATCTTGTGTACCAGACATGAAAAAGCAAAATCACTAAATAATTTTGGAAGACTGATTACCCAGGAGTCTTAACTATCTTTAAAAGAATTTAACCAACTCAATAAAACTAACATATGGGCTCCCAATGGTGGATTGAGGGTAAGCTTTTATTTTACAACACAGAAATAATACTAATAAGCCTAAATGCTAGGAGACTAATAATCAATACATAATCCTAAAGCTGACAAAAGGGAAGACTAGGGACTTCAAAGCACTTGGTCAATCATGTCAACCATGACCCTACCCATTTAGTTAACAATGTGCACAATAACACTGTATAAGTGAAAGAGTGCCTTAAATTACTAAGAATAAAAACAATTTATTATAAAGTGAACACCATCTTATTTTAAGGTTAATTTTTTACTGCCTAAAATCCTTCATCCTTCCAGAACAGGCAGAAAATATAACACACATAAACACATTTGTAACTCATAAAAGGATTACAAATACGGCAGTAGCTTTTTTTTTTTTTTTAGAGACAGAGTTTCACCTTGTTACCCTCGGTAGAGTGCCGTGGCATCAGAGCTCACAGCAACCTCCAGCTCTTGGGCTTAGGCAATTCTCTTGCCTCAGCCTCCCAAGTAGCTGGGACTCCAGGCGCCCACCACAACCCCCAGTATTTTTTGCTTGCAGTTTGGCCGGGGCCGGGTTCAACCCTGCCACTCCCAGTATGTGGGGCTGGCATCCTACTCACTGAGCCACAGGCACTGCCCATACGTCAGTAGCTTTAAAAAGCAAAAATCAGGCCTGCTGAAACAGCTCAGACCTGCAATCTTAGCACTCTAGGAAGCCAAAGCAAGAGGTTGGCTTGAGCTCAGGAGTTTTAGATCAGCCTGAGCAAGAAAGAGAATTTGTCTCTGCTAAAAATAGAAAAATTGGCAGTGCCAGTAGCTCAGTAGGTAGGGCACCGGCCACATACACCAAGGCTGGTGGGTTTGAACCGAGCCCAGGCCAGCAAAAAAAACAATGACAACTGCATAGAAAAAAACAGCAAGGCAAAATATGTAAATAGCCTAAATGCCCACCAACCCAGGAATCGATTAACAAGCTGTGGTATGTGTATACCATGGAATCCTATTCAATCATTAAAAAAGATGGAGACTTTACATCCTTTGTATTAACCTAGATGGAAGTGGAACACATTACTTGTAAACCATCACAAGAATGGAGAAACATGAATCCTCTGTAGTCAATTTTGATTGAATACAGCATCACAAGAATGGAGAAGCATGAATCGTCTGTATTCAATTTTGATATAAGGACAATTAATGACCTAGTACATGGTGGGGGGGGGTGGAGGAAGGGAGAGCAGAGAGACAGAGAGAGAGGAGGGAGGGGTGGGGGAAAAGAAGAGCAGAGAGGGAAGGAAGGAGGGCAGTGGGGGTCTCAGTGTGTGACAAACCTTTTGGGGGCAAGACACAATTATAAGAGGGACTTTACCTAACAAATGCCATCAGTGTAAACTGGTTTCTTGTACCCTCAATGAATCCCCAACAATAAAAAAAAAGCCAGGCGTTGTGGAGGGTGCCTGTAGTCCCAGCTACTTGGGAGACTGTGGCAAGAGAATCGCTTAAGCCCAAGAGTCTGAGGTTGCTGGGACACCATGGCACTCTACTGAGGGCAACACAGTGAAACTCTGTCATAAATAAATAAATAAATATTTTAAAAATAGAAAAATTAGCCAGGCATCACAGGGCGTGCCTACAGTCCCAGCTACTCGGGAGGCTGAGGCAAGAGAATCCTTGAGCCCAGGAGTTTAAGCTTGCGGTAAGCTATGATCATGCCACAGCATTCGACCCAGGGTGACTGTCGTTTAAAAAAAAAAGTAAATACACCAAAAAATTTTAAGAAAAAAATCCAAAAAGAAAAAATAAAGCTCAATGTCTAAAAAAAAAATCATAATACAAGTCAGAGAGTGATACAGTATACAGAAAGTGAAACGAGAGGACAGATGTACAAATAAATCTATCTTAACATAATGTTTGGTGCACCTCTACTTCTTACATAATAGGGAAAGGGCCTGTTCACCTTACCTATAACATTTAATTCTATTCAGAATTTTGTTGAACTTTTCATCAAAAATCTATCCTGTGTTGATCAGACAAACATTGCCTGTAATACCAAGAGCTCAAGTGCAAAAGCAGACACACAATATAACAAAACATCTGTCAGATACTGACCGTGCTGTAGACTGCTGAGACAGTGGGAGTGAAGATTCGATCCTCCAGAGGCTGTTGCACAGGTCCTCTCGGAATTCTAGAAGAGTGAGTTAAGGGTAAGAGAATTCACAAATGGATTGCTTTAGCAGTATGAGAAAATTATCACCACAAAACTTTGCCAATGACCCAAGCTTCTGCATCCAATTATTGAGATGCATCCAATTATCTTACTTCTCTACTGACATTTAAAAATGAAGAATTTCAAATTTCCTAACGTAACTAAATAATCTTACCAAAAGTGATTCCCATGATGAACATTCCATGGAAACTCAAAACAAACAAAATTATTCAACATGTCTCCAAACTTTAGGTCCATGATCAGAGCATGTAGAATAAAGTAAGAAAGTATAAGCAGAATTTCAGGAAGACTAATGTATTAAATGGAAATTACTGACAAAGGCCCCAGTATGTCTTGCTAACTATACAGAAATGGACAATTGTTTCCTCCTTTTTCTATTTCATCTACTACTTTCCCCAATATGTACCCATCATCTCCCCATTTTTTAAAAAAAGGCTAGCCAGCAAAACTGAATTTAAAATATTTCACTGGGCAGCACCTGTGGCTCAAAAGGATATGGTG